GCTACTATGGCAATCCCGAGGCCACAAGCCAAATTCTGGACAGTGATGGCTGGATACATACCGGGGATTTAGGCTACTTCAATGACGACAATCTACTACATGTGGTTGACCGCAAGAAGGCAATGCTTAAATTCCAAGGAATTCACTACTGGCCCGCTGAAATCGAGAATGTGATCAGAGAGTTGCCTCAGGTGCGTGACGTTTGTGTTGTGGGCATAGCTGATGATGTGCTTGGCGATGTGGCCGCCGCATTGGTGGTCAAAAGTCCAAGCTGCAACATCACTCCGGAAGAAATTATGAATCACGTAGCCAAACGTTTTGTCGCCACACATAAACATCTACATGCCGGTGTTCGATTCACTGAAAGGCTGCCCGTCAACAACAATGGAAAGACTATGCGAATCGCGGCACGCGAGCTGTATAAATCACTGGGTGGGACAACAACTAAGGGAAACTAAACAAAAATAAAAAATTATTTAACTTTAACTTTAACTCGATGTCAAAATCTTTTATTGAAGATCTAAATCTATACTATGTTACGCACAATTTAATTTGATTAGAATACCATCAAACGTACTTCCATCAATAAACTAAAACGAAATGAGTTTGAAAGTTCATGAAATATTTAAGAAATGCATTGTTTATCAACAAAGTGAAAGTTTTCAGTCAGATCAACAACTATCGTACTAACTATGTTGTCTATAAAGCTATAGTAATGCTATAGTTCTGCAAAGACATCAATGAAATAAATTGAGGTTCTGCCAAATAAAGAGAAAGACTGGAACTAGCTGGTTCGTTCGGAACCTAGATATTCCAACAATTGCACAACTCATTGGGAAACTAAGTTCTAGGGAAACAAAGTTCTGATGGTAAACAACGGCGCAGACTCAAAAGACTTTATCCTCTGGACCTTCGGGGATCCAACTGAGCTCTAAATAGAATCAGGCTTAAAAAAATAGTATTAAGAAAGATAATATTAATAATAATAATATATAATTACACATATAAAGTATTAATTCTTTTGGTTGAGGACAATGTGCTCCATCTGAAATAGTGACAGCCTGAAACTCTGTACTCAATTCCTGTGACTTTAGCAATAAAAGCTGGTTATTTTGATTTACTGATCTGAATAATTGTGTTATCAGCCGATGTTCTATAGCGCTTAATAGCTCTTCAAAAAAGTTCACGATTTGCCATTGCCTCAGTGCGCGTATCTAAGCAATCGTACCACTTTAGCAGATAACGGTAAGCACGAGTAAGCTTCCCCTGTCTAGACTCCACAGTTATAAAAAACGAAACAACGTGTCTGAAACATACTTTAATTTATAGACTTACTGAATGATTATAAATCGTGGGACTTTACGTAGAGTTAGAAATTATGATCGTCAACTAAAGGTATTGAGGTAGGTCAAGATCGAATCTTGAAGTATGAAAATTTATTAATAAATACAATTTTATGTGTTATATAGTAATTTGTGCTTATTGATCTCGTGTATATACAATAATAGAGCTTACTATTGCAATGCATATATATTTATGCTCTCAGTTGTATAATAATTCTTCCGAAGTAAATAATGATAAGAATTGGTAATACAATTGAGTTTCGATAGTTTGTCATAAATCTCGATAAGTTGAAAAAAAAATTCAATCTCATTGAAAAAAATTCCCGATTATTTGAATTTCTGTATAAATCGAAAAAAATCGGATCCCTTTGCCGTTTCGAAATATTCGGACTCAACTGTACAATTAAAGATATTGAATCGTGCATACCTTATGAATTTATCAAATAATTAAAGAGTATTATGTTTTTGTCTTTACAGTATATAATCTAATTGATAATTATAATAGATAATAGATAGCTACTAATTCTATGAGATAGCACTTTCTTGGGGGCTCTGTCCCCAGCCAGTTATATATATAAATAGAGCTTATGAATAAAAACTATGCATAGTCGCGAAAGACAGCTTGGAGCGAACAACTTAACAACAATGGAATCCAAATGGAATAGCATAGATAAAACATGGAGTGCCCCAGCTCGCAGTTCCATGTATAGCTCTGATACATCTGCGGGTCGCATCATCTTCAATACCATGAAGAACTGGCCAAAGAACGTATGCCAGGTGGGCATCAAATGGAGTTATCCTCAAGCAGGATCATGGTTTCATAAACAAATATTTCACAGATATCGGATACTGATGGAGTGACCGTGACATTTGAACAGGCCCTCACGTGGGCCATTCGCATAGCTCAGTTCTTCAAGAAGCAAGGGCTAGACCACACGAGCGTCATTGGAATTGCAGCTGCAAATACCACCTATGTCATGC